TTTTGCTGTCTTAGGAGTATACTTATTAAAGATTAAAGGTAAGTGTGCTGTGTTTTTCACGCTATACATGAAAGAGATACCTTAATAAGAAAATTAAATGGATTAATTAAAAGAGGACGTGAAATTAATGACCATGGAAAACTAAAAGTATCTTCACTAAGGATCGAAATTCTGTGCTTCATAGCCCTCATTTGTTCATCATTTATTCCTTCGTTCGTTTGTAAATTGCTCCATTTTACTCTTGTTTTTGTGGTGCTGATCTGTCGCAATAAAACCACGCTTGCGTTGCATATCAAACTGAACAAATTGACGATTTTAAAAGCACACAAAGTTTTTCTTTGTCTCTTGAACACTAATTGTTACGATTTCAAAGGCCTTGGATTTTAAATTTTCCCTTATTACATCGCGCTCTTGCGTAGCACTTCTCCGAAGAGACTGGGAATAGGTTTGACAAACCATGGCAACAACAAACGGCCATATTTATTTTCATGTCGTGTATACCGAGATTTAAAAACAGCAATGTTAGACTAATTTCCCTGATGATGAAAGGCGTTTTCCTCTTCGCAGTTTCATTTTGTTTGTTTCTTGGTAAGTGCATAAGCCTGTCAAACACGTTTATGATTATACTCGCCCTATGTTCGCCGTAAGTAAAGAGCAGATACAGAATTCAAATTTACCAACTGTTGCGAATAGTTTGCTTTCATATTTGTGGGGAGCAGTAATGAAATGTGTCCTTTTATAATTTAACAAATCAAGTGGGAAATAGCTGCTTTCTTAAGTAAATGTCTTAAACTGTTTTAATTCGTGGAATTTGAGGTCATCTGCAAAACTACATGACTGTGTAATTTGTACCATTATATGGTTTAAATTTGTAAAGCTAAAGGCTAAAATGGGTTCATTTGTAACTAGTCTATACGCTTAAAAATAATAATATTTGTGAAGCACTTTCCAACAAAAGGCTGCAGGTAGTTTATTATCTGATGCTGGATATGTCAGCTTCTCGCAACCCTAAGCCTTCAACCTCCAAAAACCACAAGCTAATGTTATTACTATATTACTTAGCAGCACGATGGTGTTCGCCAAGACTGGATTGAAGAATGTGAAGCTCCATTTCATTTTGTATTTATCATTGAGTAAATTAAGGAAATAACTGCTTTGACCTGCCTCGCCACTATCGCTGAACTCAGCCTCCTGGTCATACCTTTTGACGAACTGAAAACAAAAGCTCACTGATATCTCAAGTTTCTGTTAGCTCGAGGATCTTGTGTTTTTTTTGGTCGAAAAGAATTGAGAGTGGTTCGGCTCATACACGTATGAAAAGATTTACTCTCCTTTGCAGTTGGAATGGCGGGCTGACAGTGAGACAAATTTACTTTGCTTTACTTAAGTAAGCTTTTCACCTCAAATGTTACAATGTTGTGATTATTGTTTTGATTCTTGTTTTAATTAAGCTGTTTGTTTATACGCAGGTGCAAACGCTGAAGCCGATCATGCCGATGAAGGTCGCGATGCAGATGGTATGGAGGTGGGTTCGGGTGGCGTGTTTTGTAAAGCTGTCGGCCGTTCTGGGAAAATCATGTGCGCTCGTCCTCAGACGGGGAAAAAACAAGATTACAGCGAGAAAAATTCCAATCGCATCGTTATCGAGTTTGACAGTTTGCAAGAGAGGAACAGTGGTGGCAACATGGTAGGAAAAGCCAGGAAGAAAGGACATCATTTTGATTCGTTTGCTGGTCAAGACTTTACTTTCGCCGGCTTGAAAGAAGTAACGTATCAAGGACTTCATGCGAAGAATTTCAATTTCTCTTCTTTTCTGTCCGGACCAAATGCAACCTTCACAGTTTTAGCTTACATGTTTGAAGAATCGGGAAACATTACGTTCGGAAACGAGACTTCAGAGATGAGGAAGGGAATGCTGAAGTTTAACATTCAGGTATGCCGGACTCATGACAGATGACATGACACAACTTCTTTCGCATATCCAGCTGGTTTCCGTTCTTTTCCTAATTACGATGGTCATCTGCAGATTTATTTGCTTAAAATTTCTAAACTCTATCATGGTGCGCTCCCTTGACTTGTCAATACTTGGAAGTCTACTCAGCTAATGGTTTTTTTTCCCAAGAGTCATCCCTTTCAAATCAGTGGAAACGGTTATTAAAGTGCTTATGGACACTCGCTTTGAAACTAAAAAAAAGAACATTCAGGCCGAAAGCCGGAAATCTTTATTGTTATAGTGTTATTTAAGGGTAGAATGAGGGGTTGTCTATTATTGTTATTATTGTTAAACTCTTATTACTTAATTGCCTATTTGATGGTCTGTTTCTATATGGGGTCAAGGACTCTTTTACAGATCAACCATATGGCTCTTATTTTTATCATTTATTATTATTATTATTTTTTTTTTTTTTTACTTTTGTAGCCATTGGCCATTGATTCGTAATAAATAAAATGTGTTCTCCTGGGAGACTTCAGCCGTCCCAACCTGAATTAGTTGCTTTGAACCGATTTTCTCCAAAAGAATACGGCGTTTGTCGGTTCTCAGCGCCACTCATCGAAATAGTTAGCTCAAGACAAGGGATGATTTCCATCACACGGACGGAGATGTGTAAAGAAACTCAGCATTCACCTATGAACAGTTTTAATCTCATCAGAAAAGCTTCTTCTTTTAGATTGACGGCTGGAAGTTTTGCTCCAATTCAAGTGATGACTGCGAGAGCGCTGATCGAGGAGAATTTATAGACGTTGCTTTAGCCGTCAAAAGCAAAGGAAAACCAAAGTTTCGTTCTGAAGAAGAAAAAGAAAAGCTGTTAAAGATAGTTCGCCACGGGCAACACTCTAAACATGGGGAAGGAACGGGGTCTCACGACAATGATGGAGCTGGAGAACAAGAAGGTTCGCAGGAATACCGTCCTAAGTGCTTAAAAAGGTGGAAGTATAAAAAATGTCCTAAGGAGTTTGATATCGGAGGGGGATCAGACATGATGCTCAGCTCACAGGTAAGCATTAGGCGAAATGCGCTAAATTTCTCCGTAGAAATAAAGCAAATTAGCTAAGAAAACCATTTTAAAATGTCAGAGGGGTTATCAGCTTACTGATAAGTCTTAAAATATACGTTCCCGGCTTCCCTTAGCTTGATGTAGTTGTTGATTAAACGAGCAAAGAACAGGGGTTGACTGAAGCAGTCTCCGTACGTAAGAAAAACTGCCTACGCTTTACGCTGCATGTGAATTTCTATGAACCTTTATGATTCTTACGGTTAGCACCAGATGCTTATAACCAAGGTTATATGTGATTCTTATGGTTAGCACCAGATGCTTATAACCAAGTTTATATGCTTTCATAGCGAGTGCTAACGATAGAAAGTGTATCGCTAACAAACTTATATTGGGGGTCCTAGTGTTGATTATTTTGTATGATTTAATACGTGAAAAATATTCTCGATTAACTTTTTACTTACTTTTTAACTTATATCCGCATTCAAATATTTTAACTCTTATTCAAGACATCCAGTACTTCAACTTTGTTTGCCAATTTATGTGATTATTCCTAATTAGGGTGAAAAGGAATGAAAATTAAGTTTTTTGTCGTCGGTTCACCGTGGTTTGCACAGAGAAGTCCCGTTATTTTGTCTTAACTTAACGTAGAACATGAGGTGGCGGCTTGAGAATTACTGCCTGTATCCTCGATGGATTTTGAGTTTCGACTCAGTATGGTGTTATGCTATTACAATATTTTCAAAGGGCATGTCAGAACCTCTCGTCTGATGCCCGTACCCCTAACAAGAGGTGAAAAACAGAGAGATACCACTGAATGACAATCACCTGGTCTCTTTTATTTGTTTTAGGTGATGGTGGACGACGTTGTGATGGATATGCCTGGGAATGGTGACTATCCCAAGTATATGGAATTCCGAAACAAGCAAAAATTTATCTTCCGATTTCCGAAGGCTGTGAGTAAGATCTTTTATGATCCAGGCCTTGAGGTAGGAGTGGAGTCTGGCAAGGAGAACATCATGCCCCGAGAATTTGTTGTCCTGACTTTCGTTACTTTACTAGCTGACCTTTTCACTTTCTGAAGAAAGAAACTTTCCACTTTGGATTCAGATACAGAGACAATTACTTTCAGTACTTTTTAACTACGTTTCCAGTGAGAAAATGAGTTAAGTTTCATTTTTATGGTTTGGTCATCCTTCTTTTAAAGTTATGCTCACATTAAAGTATTGAAAATTAAGCGAATATCTTTACCAAGACTACTGTTATCCTTTATCATTACTAAGACAATCGTTCTGATTAGTTGGTGAACGATATGATGTTATATCAATGAAGTTAACTTACGTATGATGCACGATTCTCGCAATAGAGAGCGCTATTTATGCAATAGCGAAAATCAGGCCTGTACGGGATTCGAACCACTGACCTCTGCGATACTAGTGCAGCGCTCTACCAATTGAGCTAACAAGCCAACTGGGAGCAGGCCGTTAAGTTGATTCGTAATAAACCCGTGATGATAAATCAGATACAATGAATATATGAAGTTCATATATTTTGAACTGCGGTATTAAATACGTATGATGCACGATCCTTCGCAGTAGATAGCGCTATTTATGCAATAGCGAAAATCAGACCTGAAAAAAATCAGGCCTGTACGGGATTCGAACCACTGACCTCTGCGATACTAGTGCAGCGCTCTACCAATTGAGCTAACAAGCCAACTGGGAGCAGGCCGTTAAGTTGATTCGTAATAAACCCGTGATGATAAATCAGATACAATGAATATATGAAGTTCATATATTTTGAACTGCGGTATTAAATACGTATGATGCACGATCCTTCGCAGTAGATAGCGCTATTTATGCAATAGCGAAAATCAGACCTGAAAAAAATCAGGCCTGTACGGGATTCGAACCACTGACCTCTGCGATACTAGTGCAGCGCTCTACCAATTGAGCTAACAAGCCAACTGGGAGCAGGCCGTTAAGTTGATTCGTAATAAACCCGTGATGATAAATCAGATACAATGAATATATGAAGTTCATATATTTTGAACTGCGGTTGTAGATACGTATGATGCACGATCCTCGCAGTAGAGAGCGCTATTTATGCAATAGCGAAAATCAGACCTGAAAAAAATCAGGCCTGTACGGGATTCGAACCACTGACCTCTGCGATACTAGTGCAGCGCTCTACCAATTGAGCTAACAAGCCAACTGGGAGCAGGCCGTTAAGTTGATTCGTAATAAACCCGTGATGATAAATCAGATACAATGAATATATGAAGTTCATATATTTTGAACTGCGGTATTAAATACGTATGATGCACGATCCTTCGCAGTAGATAGCGCTATTTATGCAATAGCGAAAATCAGACCTGAAAAAAATCAGGCCTGTACGGGATTCGAACCACTGACCTCTGCGATACTAGTGCAGCGCTCTACCAATTGAGCTAACAAGCCAACTGGGAGCAGGCCGTTAAGTTGATTCGTAATAAACCCGTGATGATAAATCAGATACAATGAATATATGAAGTTCATATATTTTGAACTGCGGTTGTAGATACGTATGATGCACGATCCTCGCAGTAGAGAGCGCTATTTATGCAATAGCGAAAATCAGACCTGAAAAAAATCAGGCCTGTACGGGATTCGAACCACTGACCTCTGCGATACTAGTGCAGCGCTCTACCAATTGAGCTAACAAGCCAACTGGGAGCAGGCCGTTAAGTTGATTCGTAATAAACCCGTGATGATAAATCAGATACAATGAATATATGAAGTTCATATATTTTGAACTGCGGTTGTAGATACGTATGATGCACGATCCTCGCAGTAGAGAGCGCTATTTATGCAATAGCGAAAATCAGACCTGAAAAAAATCAGGCCTGTACGGGATTCGAACCACTGACCTCTGCGATACTAGTGCAGCGCTCTACCAATTGAGCTAACAAGCCAACTGGGAGCAGGCCGTTAAGTTGATTCGTAATAAACCCGTGATGATAAATCAGATACAATGAATATATGAAGTTCATATATTTTGAACTGCGGTTGTAGATACGTATGATGCACGATCCTCGCAGTAGAGAGCGCTATTTATGCAATAGCGAAAATCAGACCTGAAAAAAATCAGGCCTGTACGGGATTCGAACCACTGACCTCTGCGATACTAGTGCAGCGCTCTACCAATTGAGCTAACAAGCCAACTGGGAGCAGGCCGTTAAGTTGATTCGTAATAAACCCGTGATGATAAATCAGATACAATGAATATATGAAGTTCATATATTTTGAACTGCGGTATTAGATACGTATGATGCACGATCCTCGCAGTAGA